TTTAAGGTTGCTAAGGATTTTTTTTGACGTTGCTAAGGAATTTTTTAAAGCTGCTAAGGAATTTTTTTGACGTTGCTAAGGAATTTTTTTAAGGTTGCCAAGGAATTTTTTTAAGGTTGCTAAGGATTTTTTTTGACATCGCTAAGGAATTTTTTTGACGTTGCTAAGGAATTTTTTTGACGTTGCTAAGGAATTTTTTTAAGGTTGCTAAGGATTTTTTTTGACGTCGCTAAGGAATTTTTTTGACGTTGCTAAGGAATTTTGTTGACGTCGCTAAGGAATTTTTTTGACGTTGCTAAGGAATTTTTTTGATGTTGCTAAGGAATTTTTTAGGGTTGCTAGGGATTATTTTTGACGTTGCTAAGGAATTTTTGTTAAGGTTGCTAAGGTATTTTTTTAACGTTGCTAAGGAATTTTTTTAAGGTTGCCAAGGAAATTTTTAAGGCTGTTAAGGAATTAATTACGCTAAGCATTTTTTTAGCGGTGCAAATTTTTTCTTCACAATGAGAAGCATAGTGTGAATCGAAATGAGAACCATAATAAGAACCATAATAAGAACCATAATAAGAACCAGAATAAGAACCATAATTAGAACCATAATAAGAACCATAATAAGAACCATAATAAGAACCATAATAAGAACCATAATAAGAACCAGAATAAGAACCGTAATAAGAACCATAATAAGAACCATAATAAGAACCATAATAAGAACCATAATAAGAACCATAATAAGAACCATAATAAGAACCATAATAAGAACCATAATAAGAACCATAATAAGAACCATAATAAGAACCATAATAAGAACCATAATAAGAACCATAATAAGAACCATAATAAGAGCCAGAATAAGAACCATAATAAGAACCAGAATAAGAACCGTAATAAGAACCATAATAAGAACCAGAATAAGAACCATAATAAGAACCATAATAAGAACCATAATAAGAACCATAATAAGAACCATAATAAGAACCATAATAAGAACCATAATAAGAACCATAATAAGAACCATAATAAGAACCATAATAAGAACCATAATAACAACCATAATAAGAACCATAATAAGAACCAGAATAAGAACCGTAATAAGAACCATAATAAGAACCATAATAAGAACCATAATAAGAACCAGAATAAGAACCATAATTAGAACCATAATAAGAACCATAATAAGAACCATAATAAGAACCAGAATAAGAACCATAATAAGAACCATAATAAGAACCATAATAAGAACCATAATAAGAACCATAATAAGAACCATAATAAGAACCAGAATAAGAACCGTAATAAGAACCATAATAAGAACCAGAATAAGAACCATAATAAGAACCAGAATAAGAACCGTAATAAGAACCATAATAAGAACCATAATAAGAACCATAATAAGAACCAGAATAAGAACCATAATAGGAACCAGAATAAGAACCAGAATAAGAACCATAATAAGAACCATAATAAGAAGCATAATAAGAACTAGAATAAGAACCATAATTAGAACCATAATAAGAACCAGAATAAGAACCATAATTAGAACCATAATAAGAACCATAATAAGAACCAGAATAAGAACCGTAATAAGAACCATAATAAGAACCAGAATAAGAACCATAATAAGAACCATAATAAGAACCAGAATAAGAACCGTAATAAGAACCATAATAAGAACCAGAATAAGAACCATAATAAGAACCATAATAAGAACCAGAATAAGAACCAGAATAAGAACCATAATAAGAACCATAATAAGAACCAGAATAAGAACCATAATTAGAACAATCCATAATAAGAACCAGAATCATGTTTACAAATCGTATCAGTGCTCTGATTGGTTCAGCTGGAAAGCCAACAGCCAATCAGAATGCTGGAGTGTCACGGAAAATTTAACGGGACGGACTTTTCGAAATTATATTATAGATGGTAAGTGAAATCATTGGTCATCCTATATAGTCCTCAGCCTGATTATGAATATGAAAATTTGTTCCACTCATGACTGTATGAAAATTAATACACTCAGGGAACGTCGCCAGTTATGAGAGTGTGTAGAAAATTCCAATCGTCATTCAGAAATTTCAAATTTGCACTGGAAATATCAACTCTGTCCAGATTTTTATGATGTAAAGCAGTTTTGGAACCAATCGGGAGAATATTTTTTTATGTCCAAAGCTTCGATTAGAGGAAGTTGAATTGTTAATTTTAGAATGCCCATAATCCTAGCTATTTCAGATAGTATTAGCCGTTGGCATTCTATGACGATTTTCTCTACTTTTTGAAGGCTTTCGGGGGAGTAACGAATTTTGGGCGTCCAGTCGATGGGATGTTCAGGACGAATTCTCTTTACCTCCTGAAATCATTCGTCAAACTGAAGACCGATGATAATGATGGAGAGAATTCGCCATAAATTTTAAGGCTACGTTCATCAATCTGAGTCATGGATTAACCCTCCAGCATCAAAAATTCGATCACACCGAATTTGTAAATCTTGCATGTTTGTGGTCGAGCCTGAGTTTAGAAATTTATTTCTCAGGATCTACTGGTTGAAGCATTAGGGAAAAAATTGACATTTCCTAAGTATGTTTGAACTTTGAAATCACGAAAAAAAACTGGCGCTAAAACGTCTCCTTCAGCGGTATTCCAGCTATTTTTTGGTTCACCCTCGTACAATGACCTTGAATTAAAAATACCAAGAACACCCCGAAATTCGGGGCATAATTAAAGCTTACATCATTAAGCTCGTTGGTTAAGCTGCAAATGGTGATTTTTAGACCATACTAGGTAAACAAAAATCCAAAATAAATATGGAACTCAGAGGAATATTTACCACTATGTGACTTTATTGACACCGGATTACTTGTAGTGCAGCTTTTGCATACTTTACACAAATATAATTCAAATAAACCGTTGTAACGTTAGAAGTAGCTCACCCTGTAATAATGATTTTTGTATAATTGTGTACCAATGGTACAGAACAAACCGATAAAATAGGTCCACAATATGGGCATAATTTTCCATTAATGATGCAGAATAAGCGAACAAAAGATATACATAATTGTGATATAATTTTGCACCAATGGTGGAAAATAAACCAGGGAAAATGAACCATAATTTTGACATGAAATTTTGACAAATTCCAAGTAAAAATGATAGTTAATTCTTCCGGGTCTTATGCACTTTTGGTGCGTTTTGCATCTGTTCCTTCAATTGTTTGGCACCAGTTTGAGTCACCGATTGTTCCATATCAGTGGTGCTAATAAGTCGGTCACAAATTCCAATAACTCGCTTTAATTATCATCAATTGATGCAAAAGAGTCGTTAACAGACAGACAGACGGACAGACGGACGGACAGACGGACGGACGGACAAGAGGAATTCAATAGCTCCTCTGCTACGCAGGGTGAGCTAATAAACCGTTGTAACGTTAGAAGTAGCTCACCCTGTAATAATGATTTCAGCATAATTTTGCACCAATGGTGCAGAATTGGCAGATAAAATAGATACGCAATTTTGGCATAATTTTGCATTAATGATGCAGAATAGGCGGACAAAAGAGATACATAATTGTGACATAATTTTTCACCAACGGTGGAAAATAAACGAGAAAAATCAATCCAGAATTTTGACATAAAATCGTGACAAATTCGACGTAAAAATTCTAGTTATTTTTTTCGTTTCCTATGCACGTTTGGTGTGTTTTGCATCTATGTTGTCAATTGTTTGGCACCATTTTGTGCTACCGACTGTTCGATATCAATGGTGCTACAAAATTATTTAAAAATGGAAATGTTCCTATTTAATTAGCATCAATTGATGCAAAATAGTCGTTAACACACAGACAGACAGACGGACAGACGGACAGACGGACACGAGGAATTCAATAGCTCCCATGCTACGCAGGGCGAGCTAATAACCCTAAATAAGTGAGTCCTTCGAGTGGATGTACATATTCACTATAGTAGAGTTCCATACGGTTTGGGGGTGATATAAATATTTACTCAACGTTTTCGTAGAATTTTGACCACAATGCCAAATGTACGTATGTAGAAGCACGCCTCGAGCTACATACACATACAACGCATTTTACATACATACGTAGGTTACATCAATTTAAGTAACAAACCTTATTCACGGGTCACTAAACCATACTTTCCACTAAGAAGCCACCATTTCTAACAAAAGATGTTTAATTTTAAAACTGGACTTTGCCTTACCATTCCACAAATCAGAATTCACAAAAGCCTAAAAATAAGATATGTAGAAACTAAATATTTGTTGGCTAGAACCCATACGTCTCAAGCAAGCGAGCAAGCAACTAAATAAATCCGTTTCCTTAAAATAAACGTTTACTTTTTGGAATTTTTCCTCTCTGGTCTAGTGGATTTTCAGCCTTCCCAAAGATAAAAGGTATGGAACTGTGTGCCTAATACGTATGTAAATACACTCGTGGGAACAATTATCCCGTAAGGTTTCCCATAGTAAATAAAATGTCGTGCAATTAGTGAGATAATAGAATTTGAAATTTAGTTACAAATTCAAAGCAAATCAGATTTATGGGAAGGTAGAACTTTGACATATATTGAAACAGTATATATTAATTTACTACCGACAAAGTCAAACCGCAGGACCTTTCTGAACCTTAGTTTTTAATTAATTTCGTAATTTTTCGATATCTTATCACTGTGACTCCTCAATCGATCACTAAACTAATGACATTTAAAAAAAAAGCACTCCCAATATTCAAGTTTGGCAGATATTTATGTATGTATATTCTACGGACCTATGTTTATTTAAGAGGACAGTAAATTTAGAAAGTGTAACATTTGTCAATTTTATCGCGCATTTTATCACCTGTTGGATGTATGCAGCTACATATCTTCGCCAAACCTGAATAGTAGCGCATACGTACCTGGAGACCTCCATTGCTAAAATTAATGAAATTTTGGTGTCATATTCATAATTCATAATTTTTTTTTCTTCTTCTTTCATGAATCATACAGCCAAGAAATTATGGATACCGGACGCGTTACAACCACCCACATGGCCGTGCGCATGCCTGAGGTTTGTGAAATCCAATTAAATTGTTTGATAAATATTATATTTCAATTTGTCAATGAGATCACCCGCAGAAAATCGAACTATGTACATTATAATCCAGAAAGTAAAAATATTTATGTATATGTATTACTCTACCCCCGTGGTTACAAATAGATCACCGCAAGAAAAAATTTATAACCAGTGGGCGACAAATTTATTTGTATCTACAGCAGTAGAGTCACATACGATTATTTTGGGTTATAATTGTAACCCAATTTCTTTGAGTGTATTCTGATTTCATTCAACACAGTCTTCTGTGTTATGAACCGTGTCGGGGCGACAAAGGAAAGGGGGGGGGGTAACGAGTTCATCGCTAATTCCTGTACCAATAGTTAGAGCCGAAAATGTGTTTTTTTTTATGTAACAACTATGAAATTTGAGCTGTGCCATTTCGAGATATTAGAGTTCAAAATTTTTCCAATTTTTCCAAGGCGAGCCAAAAAAATTGTTCACGTTGCCCCCCCCCCCTCCCTTTCCTTTGTCGCCTCGACGCGGTTCATAACACAGCGGTAAAATTATTGTCCACGAAATCCAAATTCACTACCATACAAATCCAATGTCTCTCTCTCCGGTAATTTGAGCTTGGTGTCCAATAATCGCCAGCTTTTCTAATGTTCATTCAAAGTAAATATCTTTACTGTATTTATTACGCGCTGTAAATAATGTTGAGTAAAATTTATCCCTCCAAAGTTAAAATTTACTCAAGGTTGAGCAAAAACCTTTCAACGTTGGGTAAACTTGAACTTTTCTTTTGTTGGGCAACTTTTACTCAACAGTTTGGTTTTGTGGGAAATTCACTCAATTTTTCTTGCAAAAATATTATTTATTTTTTACGATAGGTTTTACAAAATATGACCTCCTTTTTGCCAACGACAAACCTGCTTGTGTGCACCCAGGTCAACGCGGGATGGGAAGTTGCAGCCAGGAATCAACTCCGAGCCCGCATCATGATCGATTTGTCGGCCGAATGTAGCAAAAGTTACTTAAATGTGATGCAAGTCCGATCAAATTACCACCAACGGGTCGAATTAAGTTGGAAACGGGAAGAAAAAATTATCCAGTTTCTCCCGCGATTTAAACATTTTGCTGAACAGAGCCGGGGTAAAGTGAGACATGTGATTACCGAGTTCTTCTTGGGCGGGCGGTCATACTCGGAGAAGTTTTTCAAAATTATCAAATCTCTAGGGACGCAAGTGACGTCGTTAAACTTAAAACTATTCTGTGAATATCCTAACAAAGCGTATGTACGTAAGAAATTTTTGCACTGCTTGCATTATAATGTCAATGGTTAAATAATTTATAATCGCACGCTACTGGTAATAACCTTAACCTTTTGATTCGTGAGGAAGATAAGGGTCGTTTTATATGTGTAAACTTAACTTACTTGAGCGTAGTGGTTCCAATCCTGAGATTTTTAACATTGAGTTTTCCAGATTTTTCGGGAAATCTAATGCTAAATACTCGGAAATTGTAACCACTAGGTGAGACATGACGAGATGAGACAAGATTTATACGCGATAAAACAAGGCTCATAATATTACAAATCCTGTAAGAAGTTGTTACCAGCATGTATTAATATAATTAACTCGAGCTAGATTTTAACAATTTTATTCGCCACCTTGTCTCCCCACCTAATCCATTATTTTTATCTGCCCTCACAGATTTCTAGGAAAGTTAAGAACATGTCCACCTTCTTGACACACTTCAACCCTGGACAAACCCTGGTCTTCCCATCCATCACTAAACTGGGATTAAACCTACACCAGGTCACCGGATGTGACCAGTGTCCTCTAATCCTTGCCAAATTTGCCGCCTTATTCCCTAATGTGTCCACGCTGGAATACATTTGCAGTGGCGGGGACGCCTTAAAATTCCTGTTTTTCACGAAACCCTCCCCATTTCCGAAGTTGATCTCGTTACGCCTCCGCGAATCTGGGTCGCACGGGCATTATGACGGTCAACCCGTTTCACCTGCCTGGTTCACCAACAATATTACCCGTTTTGAATTTAACGTGACACCCCAAATGAGTTCATGTCCGGCTCTACTCCAAATTTTGTCCCCGGTTTTGGAACACTTGAAAATCACCGGGCTGGATGGGAGAAGGTTCGTGAGGTGGGATGTTAAAGATCTCGTCATTCCGATCATGCCGAACCTCAAGGTTTTTGCTGTCAGTAGGATCACATCAATTTATGACACCTCCTTCAACGAGGGCCATGTTGGGGTGAAATTCGAAACTGAAAATCCTTTGGGTAAGATTGATTACAAGGAGCAGTTCCCCGCACTGCAAGTACTTTCGGTGAAAAATGAGGGCGAAACTGAGTGCGAGTTTGAATCCACAGTACAATTTTTGTATTATACTTTCCTCCCGGAAAATATTTCCGTGTGCGAAACGCTGCAGAAATTATACTTCCCGCACCTGCCCAGGGACAAGGTCAGTTTGAGCTGGACCACGCTGGTAGACAGGATTGTCGCCACGTTTCCAAATTTGAAACATATGATGGGCCACATTTTGTAAATAGGTGGGTGATGAGTGGGTAGATTTTTGGAGAAGATGGAATTAGGAGGGTGGTTTTGAGAATTTTTTGGGTTGAAATCTACGTATTTTAGTCCGGATTTCCTTAATCTTACATAAGTGTAAGCTGCTTCAACGTATGGAGGCAAGTCTAATTACGGACGAAATTAATGACCAATTTTTTTTTAGCTAATTCCACGACTAAAAGTACTTAGTAAAAGTTATATATGTAACATTTAATTATTTAATATATGCATTTTATAATATTTCATAGTATTTAATGAGGCAATTCGCGCACCCCTTGGTAACATTGTAAACAGCGTAAAATCCGAAAACTTACAAACTTTTACAAAAATTTCCGAGGAAAATGAGCTTACAAACTTTTGTAAGCTTAGGCAGGTCAAGGGCGTTTTTCTATTTTGTAAAATATTTTGTAAACTTACAGACTTTACAATGTTACCAAGGGGTGCGTGAATTGCCTGAAGATCTCGCTAAGTGTTTACTTAGAATAAATAAGTTTGTTTGGTACAAATTAGATAATATTTAGTAAAGAAATTGAATCTCGTCATCATGACAATTTTCCTGGAGTTGGTTAACTCCAATAATTGAGTGGTAAGTACTGTCCATAATATCTTACTTCCCTTCTCGATACACTTTGTACCCATTTTTGATATATGTATGTACTTTCCCAGCAATAGAATTTAAATATCGAATAATAATTAATTGCTCGTAATAATGGCAACAGAGATTGATAAATCTTATTTAATAAATCAGTGTCCCTCGAGACAAATGAAGTACGTAATTAGTTATTCCACTTAACACAGAATTTTGATTTACGCTTTTTGTAACTCACAAAACTCACTTAAAATGCAACTAAATATTTAGATATACGTACATACTTTAAGTTTTATGAGTTACAAAAACGTAACTCAAAATTCTGTGCTGACTTGTTTGTGACCTTAAAATTTACGCGTATTTAAAAAAAGAATCACTCAAATTGGTTAAACATTACGTGCGAGGTTTCATTTCTTAGATTTTGCATTACTTTTACATTGAGTGGCGTATTGATCAAGCTGGAGTTCTGATACTCCTTATAAGAACGCGATGCTCTTCAAGTTGAGATGAGATTTATTATTTATTATGTAGCAATCAATTATTTGATATAATTGGTTTACAGCGTCGTGTGATAAAATATATGTAGTTAGACAGGTTTCGACCAGATAGAAAATTATATTGATTTATAGTTGGTCCTTATCTGTAGGCGACGTATTGGTCAATAATTAACATTTTGTAATGCTCATCAGAGTTTCATCCAGGGCAAGTATGACATGCGTGATTCCTGATCAGAGATTTACGTAACTTAGGAGGAAAGCTTCACTAGTTGCCACCAACAGATTTCGATGCCCTTTGGATATGTGGTAGTACCCCATGAGAGAACAAAACATCTTCAAATTTGATGCCATGGCCCCATTTGCGCCCGCCACACCCACTCAAAGGGGCGCCAAATGCTAGACTAGCCGCACTAAAATCTTCGCAAAAAATTCAATTTTGCTTGGATTTTCAAAAAAGTTACATATTCTTGGATCCCAGATAGTTGCTTTATCATATCTAATAGCAATCTCAACTTTTTTGAAATTTTGCATTTTTTCAAGTCAAACCCGTGCTGACGAAATTTTCGAAAACAGTGAAAATTTCAAAAAAGTTGAGGTTGCTACTGAATATGATAAAGCAACTATCTGGGATCAAGAATTTGTAACTTTTTTGAAAATCCAAGCAAAATTGAATTTTTTGCGAAGATTTTAGTGCGGCTAGTCTAGCATTTGGCGCCCCTTTGAGTGGGTGTGGCGGGCGCAAATGGGGCCATGGCATCAAATTTGAAGATGTTTTGTTCTCTCATGGGGTACTACCACATATCCAAAGGGCATCGAAATCTGTTGGTGGCAACTAGTGAAGCTTTCCTCCTTAGTGAAAGTGGGGGTCGCATATAAGAACAGAATGTATGCTTACCTGGAGGTCTGCACCTTTATACGAAAAGTGTTATCTTTTACACATTCGTCGAGAACCGTTGACTCATATTTTATTTTCTCAAGGACTAATTGAGGTAAAACACCAAAGTGCCATGTACTCAGTGTCATAGATTTCAAACCAGTTTTTGTAACTGATATCTATTAAATCTATGAACTGAAATGAAATATACATTCGTATCGTTTTTCTACTACATAAGTACATGATCTACAAATCGGTAAGAGCTACATATGCAAGACGATTTAAATTTTGCATGGCAATTTAAGGGGGTGGTATTACATGATTTTGGTAATTTAATGCATACATTTCCTAATTTTACCACCACTGCTTTTGAGAAATAGGGTGGGATTCAAATTTCGAAATCACTTTCTTTTGTCTGTCAAAGCAAATTTTAAAAATTAAAATAGTTCGCCACTACATCTGGATTATACACAATCGTTATTTTCGTAAAATGATGAGCTAGGTTAAAAATTAAACATACCCGTCGTCTTGGTGATAAACATGTCCTCAAAAAATACAATGCAATGCACAAAATGTTTCACATCAGTTTTTCGTGGTTCAATTTATAGTTGAAATTAATTTTCGAAAAGGAAAATTAAAAGAGGTGAAAATTTAGGCAAATTTTAGTAACCAAGGATAAATTGCAGTTCTCAAAGTACAAATAATGGTAAAGCAAAGTAACGTTAAACGTATAAATATGGGATTAAGCCCAGATTCGGGTTAGAACGTTCGAAAACACAAGCAGCTCTTCATCTGTGAGCACATCGACAAAAAAATTGTTGCCACAGTCTGGAAATTGATAAGAATCAAAACGACGAAATTTTGATTATTGTTTATTCTCATGTTTGTCCAGTATTTACAAGAGTGTGACAAAAATCAAGCTAATCTTTCTCGTAAAAACTATTACAGTGCGACAATTGGTGAAAATCAACGGCTGGTAGACTTAATAAATATGCCATTACATAAATTAAGATTAATTGCCCAAGTTCGCCTAAACCATGATAGATTCTTCTTTAGAAAAAATATACATGTATTCAATGATAATCAGAAATGTCGTTTTTGTAACCTAAATGTATGCGAAGATTTATTTCATTTCCTGTTTCACTGTAGAATTCATGAGAGCTCACGAAATATTTTTTTGAACGAATTCCTTAATCAAGTGGTAGTGACAAGAGAGAACTTCAAATCAAAATTAACAAATATGGACGAAGAGACTTGTGTAAAATTATCAAATTATCTAGTATGTAGCTTATTAAGGAGGAATCTCTTCACCCGTTTAATGGAGGAGTGTAGCACTTAGCCACCAATTATACTATTAATTAGAACTCATTATTACTGTAAAAATATATCAAAATTGTGCTCAATGGGTGTACCCTGGAAGAGCCAATAAACACACTTATCTATCTATCTATTATTCTCATGTTGAGAGCACAACCTCCATCCGAACGTTTAACTCAAACTACAACTACAAGTTAGATGTCAAATTTTATCAACCTCTAACCATTTTATATGTAAATAAAGTGCGGTAAAGCACGATACATAAGTAGCGCAATAATGCTGAGAACGCTGAGAATGCTGAGAATTAATTTGCGCTATAAAGCTCAAATTAATTAAATTAATTAATTAAAGTAATTAATTCATTAATGATTGATTAATTAATTGATTAATGATTGATTAATTAATTAATTGATTGACTGATTGATTAATTAATTGATTAATGATTGATTAATTAATTAATTGACCACATGCTCTATACTGCGACATGCGACATCTATCTGAAATGTGATGGTCCGGTTTGATATGAAAATTTGACAGTTACTGACATCTTATGGATATGCCCAAGCTGTAAAGCTGTACGATTTTCGAACTTTTAGCAACAAAATTTAGATTGAGTCGTAGGAGAGTTTGATTAAGAGTATCACACCCTGTCTCGAGCTATAGGAAGACCACTTTGGAGCTTTATTTTCACAATCATTATTTCCACACATTTAGTAGTCACGTCAAACTTTCATATTTTTGTCGAAAGATATCACATGTAAATATGTTCTTGCCGATGATTAATCCAAACCAGTGTGTAAATTTCTCATCTGAAATGTCAAGATTTGAGGATGAAAAAACCGTATTGTAAAATACTTGAACATGGTCTCTTGGCCCATTTACTTTATCATTAAATCTCCCGTCGGCATGGTTTGATTATTTTTAATTATTCTTATGATAATTGAATATTTGAGTGACAAGCTGTACACATCGAGAACATCATTTTAAGATGACGGTACCAATGATAACGCCGTTGCTTAGCGACACAGTTTGAGTATAATCAAGTATCAATTTAATTACGGGTTTCCCCTCAATTTATTCACTTGTATTGTATTCCATTCACGTGTATCAATTACAAATTTAATTTAAAACACAAATTGATAAGCGTTTCGGTTTCTCACTTTGTAGGTCCAGGTTAATTATAAACTCGGCAATTTATGTAAGTTGTTAACACACCTGGCAGTGTATTCGATATGCTTCATTCAAGAGTAATTTTTTCTGTATATGTCGATGTAATTACGTATTATGCAACTTCAATGAACCGACAAAGCTAATTGTTTTTCGAGTCACGAATTATAATTGATTTATGACTATATAGAAATAAGTGGTTCTTGTGCGGACAAAATGGTATAAAAAGAGAACAAATTATATCATTTCAGTAGAAGTTTACGCACCGATTTTTCAGGATAATGGCAGGTCAAATCAAATTTCAATATTACTTCTTGCTCGTTGTCCTCATTAGCTGTGGGACCCTCCCGACAGGTCGGTATCAAATTTATTTTCTATAAAACTTTTAATTAAGGGAGGTTTAGGGTATAATTTTTAGGTTAGGCTCATGTAACAGTCAAGGCTTATGTAACAATCATGTTGATCCGTCTCTCTGTCACGTGATAGAGCCTAATCGGTTTGGCTCGTATTATTTGGCATGTGTGTATGGGGTCAATTTGCAGGTCGATTTCGTATATAGAGAAAATCGGCTTATTGAGAATAGGGGTAATATGGACCGGGTATTACATATGCACCAAAATTTAAAAAAATGGCGTACATATAGCTAATAGCTTCAAGTGAATTACTATGAGGTCAATTTAAAAAAAAAAATTTCATTCCGATGGACATTAGAGAGTGAGCCATACCGATTTTTCAAAATTCTTCAATCTATTTGAAATTTAGTTTGAGGGTAGCTAGGATGACACTTTGATGAAGTTAAAATAAGAACATTTTTATTATTAGCGACCAGAGAGATCGACAACTACCGATTTCTAAAAGTAGTCGTAATTAGCTTAAATTTAGTACAGTTCTTCCTAGTTTACAATAGTGAAATGTGAAGTCAAATTTGCAAAATTTTCAATCCAAATACACCAAACCTGACTCTGGCTAAATCAGTACTGAACACTGAAGGTTTATAATTCGAGGCCGGGCTGACAGTCTGTCCTTGACAGATCCAGTGCTCAATATGTAGCCAAATTTCGAGATTTTCTGTGAACTTAATCAAACGTTGTTAACTTTGGTTGTAATCCGTAGATGCTGTCGAATGTGGGGATAACTGGACTACTTTTGAAAAATCTAAATGCTTCCGGTTCTTTGATAATTTTGAAACTAAAGACATTGCGGCCCAGACTTGTCGCAATATTCCCACAGAGGAGGTTAACACGACCAAATTGTTATCTGTAAAATCAGAGGCGGAACAACTCTTCCTGAGCGAATGGTTGTTTAGAGAATTAGGTATTTTAAACAGAGTTTGGCTCAACGGCGAAAGATTCAATGGCTCAACCTTCATCTGGAGTGATGTTGACGGAATGTCCTTCACAAATTGGGACGTCGGGTTTCCAACCAACTTGACGAACGACTGTGTGGATATGAGTCCACAATCTGGTGTCATGTCGCCACCATTGGCCGCAGAGGATGGCGCGTGGCGAGATGTGCCATGCACTAAGAGGAATTTGGTTGTGTGTGAGAAAAATCCTAGCTTATCTCCAGGGGAGGTGGTGGACATGCTTTTCCATCTGAGGGACAATCCAGGTTGGTTATTATTTTTACCTTCATTGACTATTGATTTGCCACCCATGGTTTTTTTAGTTGTTGAGTTTAATTGCAAAAAAGCCTGATTACTTGAATAACTACTGTACACTTGGCGCTTATTAGTCAGAGTCAGGGCTTGCGTAGTCATCGTGTCCGTCCGTCGGCCTTTTCGATCCATAACTCTCTTTAAACATATCTGATCAATGTTTCTCCTAGTTTCTGCTAAGGGGGTGCTGCAAGGATGAAAATTTATTTTTTGAAAATTTCCAAATTTTTGAATTCAGGAATTGATTGATTGATTGATAACCTTTATTCGTGTGTCAATAGTGATCAATTCATTACAAATTGGTTTACTTACCATGACACAATTATAGCTAATTTTCTGTAAAGCACTTAACTAATAATTAAAAAGAACAAAAAATTGAGTACATACATAATCAGGGCAATTGAAATAGTTGGACAAAATTAATTATATATTCCGTATTATAACCAAATGAACAAAAAGTCGGTATAAATAGTCTTTTACCCTATTCCCTAATTCTCAAACGTATTAATGCATAAATCATACTTAAACTCAAATTCCTTAGCTGCATAAAACATGTCAGCACATTGACTTCGTAACGGGTTCAGCACTTTCGCTAATTTACGCATTAATTTATCATGATTAACGCAATTCCTATTTTCTAAAACTATCGTCATTCTCTTAAAAGGAGGAACGCAGCTAGGACAAGCCCAGTTTTTAGAGTGTAAAATGTTTCTGTAAGAAACTTCAGACATATTCAGGAATTATTTAGGTCGGGTGTAAATTTTTAGCACAACCTGTAGCTTATGCAATCGGCATGTCTGTCTGTGGTCATTTCATATCTATAATATTATCTGGACTCATCCGATTGATTAAAATTTTTTTTATTCATATAGCATAGGTAAAAGTAGGGAACGAATTCAATAATGACCCGAGTCGACCGCAGAGCGATCGGTGGGTTTCATTCTGGTCGGCGGGTAAAAAACACTTGCTCGGGCAATGCGAAGTTGAACTATGTGACGACATTCCTAACTGATTAATAATTTGTACCTTTATTCAGTTCCAATTGGATTCATCTACGTCCAACTACCCTTCCACCCCGCGCCACAAACGCTTTGGCCAAATTTGATCTGGAAAAATGCTACGGGGGATTATGCCGGATTATTCTTCCGAGCCGAGGGTGGACCTTCGGGGGGCTTTGGGACAGTTCAGGCAGACACGTGTAACCGACTTAGCACTGTATCCTCATCGTTAAGCACCACCTTTCCCCCATCATCGGTAACAGTGCCAGCTACGGGATTTTCTAATAGTATCTTTGCCGGATACGAACCAACTAGCATTAACCGTTATGAGGTAATGAGCTTCTCCAACTCTGGTGAAGAGACTCGTCCGAGAAATACGGCGGTTAGGATATGGGAACGAATATAGGTTGCATGGTACTACATACGTAACACAAATTAATTTAGTTTTCAACAAATAGAAATTTGTTTAACCTTTTTCCCTTAAATACGTGGTATGATGTATTTTGAAACATGTCCCTAAGAGACCAAATACATCATATGACGTAGAGAAGTTTTTCATGGGCAACTAACATCGAAGGTGAAAATTGGTAAAAAATGAAAAACTCCATTATGAAATGTGGAAAACGCCATAGTGAAAAGTTGGATTTTTATAGCTTTTTTCAGCGGAATTTTAGAATATTTTCTATATCAAGTCCATGCTAAAAATGGAATTTTCATTTTTTTCCAGTTTATATCAAGTTCGAATATTTACAAAAACTCAAATTCGGGTGTTAGTGGGTACAAAGGGCTTTGAAATTAAAGGCGAAAAAGGTTAATAGCAATAAATTTGAAATTTTAATATACTTATTGTTGGAGTTATTATCCAACCGAAAAAAATTGTAATAAAAGTAAAATATAATATCATACATAATATATAGTATAATATCACATTGCCACCTTCGACCCCATTTTTACAAATTTTTCGTATGTCTTTCCATTCATGGTTGATCACTGCTTTTCCTAACTTGTCGTCACACTATCCAAAATGTTTCCATAATTCATCGAAATCCGGTTTTTCCCACTGGACAGAAGTAGTTTTAACCTCCCTAAACCGTTTTAATCTTTCAAAACGAAACACTAATGTGCAGATTTTGGCAATTTATATTTGCACTACGTTATCTCCAACGAAGGCGGAAAAACGAGCCAGTTTCGGGCCCACACATGCCGGGTACTCCTTTTTAACCGTGTCTTAATAAGATATGAAATTATACAACTGTATTAAAAATTACTTGGTCGCAATTTACATAAAATATCAATTTAATGTGTCTTGTTACGAAATTTTTTGTCGTAGCACATATCCACAAGTGGTCCACAAAAATCTTTCCATTCTGCCTCAATCAAATCCACGCGACGTTTCTCATCCTCAGTTTTTCTTGCGAGGTGGCGAAAATTGCAGTAGTTTGCGTCAATTTGACGTCACCATCGACTAACCATGGCAGCTGAATATTTTATGATACCAAATTAATCGAATGCAGTGTTTCGGGTGAAAATAACCACTTGCAAAAAAACGGCTGCAAGAAAGTGGTTTTTTCACCTTTTCTTACCTGCAAGAAACTCTTCTTGCCTTTATAGTTGATAATGCGCGCCGCTAGATGGTGTTCTGTTTCTTGCACTTTCTTGCATTTCTTGCAGTGCAGTGCAAGAAATGCAAAGAACCTATACGAAACGAAACACTTATCGAATATTTACTTTAACTATTAAAAAAAACTTTCTTACATTTGGGAAATCAAATCCGAGTGATACTTTCACACCAAAACAACACATTTTGTCAACCACGGGATCCTTGCCGGTCATGGCGTACAATTTGACTTCCCATTCCAGACCGGCATGCTCCATGAGAAGGCGGATGTTTTGGGTCAACTGAAATATAATTGAATCGTCGTAGATAATCTCTCCTCTCCAAAATGATTGGATTTAAAATATTAGGCAGTTTGTGCAACTACGCTATTTTAATTTCCGTACCGCTCCGTATCTCTTGGGAGTGATAAAAATTTTCAAAATGCATATTGAAAATATGATGACTACCCCCAACAAGTTACAAGTTACAAATACAAGACATCAAATTCTGACAAAATACTTTAAAACTACTACATAATTATGTATTAACTAGCCTAGAAGCCCGTCTTAAAGACGGGCCACATTTTGTTTAACAGTAATGTAACAAAATCAAAATCAGAGCGTTATGCAGTTGACTGGCCTCGACGAAAATTATAATTACGGCGTTAAATAAGAGCACAAATAATTGAATAATGTGGTCACAACCAGAGGTCGACGCCGCCGATCTCACGCCGCCGCGCCGCCGAACGCCGGTAGTATTTTAGGCGCCGCCGCCGCCGAAAAATTTGATTCCTATTCCTTCAACATTGGGACGCCGCGCCGCGCCGCCGCGCCGCCGAAAAATCCCCGAAAATTGGCGCCGCCGCCGCCGAAAATTTGCCGGCGTCGACCTCTGGTCACAACAATATTAAATTTTTTTTAACGTTTCTAAGGAATTTTTTTAAAGTTGCTAGGAATTTTTTTAAAGTTGCTAGGGATTTTTTTTGACGTTGCTAAGGAATTTTTTTGACGTTGCTAAGGAATTTTTTTAACGTTGCTAGGGAATTTTTTTGACGTGGCTAAGGATTTTTTTAACGTTGCTAGGGAATTTTTTTAACGTTGCTAAGGAATTTTTTTAACGTTGCTAGGGAATTTTTTTGACGTGGCTAAGGAATTTTTTTAACGTTGCTAGGGAATTTTTTTAACGTTGCTAAGGATTTTTTTTGACCTTGCTAGGGAATTTTTTTGACCTGGCTAAGGAATTTTTTAAAGGTTGCTGAATAAATTTTGTGCGGTGGCTATGGCACCGGTTTCAATTCATCATCCGCATAATAATCAGAATGAGAACCAGAAGCATAATCAAAAATCGAATCCGTTGGGCTAGAATTCCAGCCGCCAATCGGAATGCAGGAATATAGGTTGCTAAGGAATTTTTTTAAGGTTGCTAAGGAATTTTTTATAAGCCTATAAGCCCTATAACCTAGCCTATAAGCCCCTCTTAAAGACGGGCCGCTTTTAAGGTTCCTAACGATTTTTTTTAAGTTGCTAAGGAATTTTTTTAACGTTATTAACGAATTTTTTTTACGTTGCTAAGGAATTTTTTTAACGTTATTAACGAATTTTTTTAACGTTGCTAAGGAATTTTTTTAACGTTGCTAAGGGAACCATAATAAGAACCATAAATGGGAACCATAATAAGAACCATAATAAGAACCAGAATAAGAACCATAATAAGAACCATAATAAGAACCATAATAAGAACCATAATAAGCACCATAATAAGCACCATAATAAGAACCATAATAAGAACCATAATAAGAACCAGAATAAGAACCATAATAAGCACCATAATAAGAACCATAATAAGAACCATAATAAGCACCATAATAAGAACCATAATAAGAACCATAATAAGCACCATAATAAGAACCATAATAAGCACCATAAGAAGAACCATAATAAGAACCATAATAAGCACCATAATAAGCACCATAATAAGAACCATAATAAGAACCAGAATAAGAACCATAATCATATGCCCAATTATGTTCAAAACTCGTATCATGATTGGTGCAGCTTGAATGCCAACAGCCAATCGGAAAGCCGGAATGTCACGGAAAATTTTCACGGGACGGACTTTTCGAAATTATAATATAGATTTAATTCGTTTCTTTGGTTCTTTTGCTACAAAAAATGATAATCTAAAGACTTAGATACACAATTTTGCGCCAATCATGCATGGCCTGGCTGGACCAGCGATTTGCATAATTGTAATTCATTTCCACCAGCCGTGCAGCACAATAGCACCATAACACCATAGCTAAACAATATTGACCCCATTGCACCAATAGTGCAGAAAAATTGAATTTTGTGATAAGAGAGTATAGGACGAGCTATTTCTAACCATGCTGCGGTTTATTAATTATTGGTTGTATAATGTAATCGACGGGACAACAAATGTTCCCATTATATTATCGGTGTTCTTGATCTTAGGTAGCCCATAAAATTTGCAAGATTTGTTACGCTCAATGCTTAGCTGATGCAATTTATTATACCCACATGGTGATTTTTGGATTAATTAATGTAGAACACTTTTTGTAGAATTTAGTATAAGGTTTCATAAGTAATGATATTTTGTAGTTGTATGAAAATGCCTTTATTTCTTTGTATTGTAATTGAGTGTCTCATAACCTCGTGATTTTGAGTTTTCCGGTTCTCTTGGGCTTGGGCCACTATTTTTTCTGTTGCTGTGTGAGTGAATAATTGTATGGATTATTCTTGGGTTTGAGTTGGTCATGAGAAGTCATTTCCAGCTTTGATTTTAAAGTAAAGAATCGCAAGAATCATAAGTCACGAGAAGAGTTTTAAAGTCATACACCGCATTCCACTCGGCAATTTTTAAGTGAGGACTTATCTACGGGTAGTAGGTCTGCTCCCTCAACACTTTTATTTATTTATTCACATACAATTATCCCCTTAAATTTAGCACAGCAGTACTACACAAATATCAAGTAATGCTAAATTATAGAATACATACTGAAGGAAGCATATTGGGATTTCCAAAGAAGAATTGTGAATCAGATTTGAAACAAGACATAACCAAGGCTAACTCGTGGTCACTCTCGCCAAGCCGTGTCCATCTTGACTGCTTGATCTTGCAATCTGTGAGTCGGCTGGATCCCTTTCTTCCTTTTGATAACGTTTCTTTCATTTTTATTGCAAGAATTATCATCAATATCTAACGCTTATGTAATTTATTTCGCTGTATAGTTTCATTCAACAGTCAAACATTTGTAGCTTCTAAATATGCACTTACGCTGCAAAAGAAGATGATTGAGTAAATCATTATGCATGACTTTGCGTAATGATTTGCAAATGATGATCTGAGACTGAAGATCATTTATCCATCATTGAGAGAGAGCGTGTTAATTTGTTTTCACCGCCTAGTGAGGACAAAATTAATTGAAGATATTTTAATTGAATTCAAACCCCTTCCTCTTAGTCATCTATAATTACACAATGTGATTTAAACATGTGTAAACTATGTGTAAGTTTATGCGATTTTAATGCCAGTGTCAAAAATATATACTCATTTTTAAGTAATTCGCGATAATTGTATCGATATATAAAATTCAAAATTCGAGCATTTCATTAATCACAAATCCCAGGTGTGTATTCAAATATTATTTATTTATTTAATATTATTTGATTAAAACAAATTACATATTTCATTTCAGGTACAAAAGTAATTCCAATCCCAATAGGTGTTGGTATGCAGAGCCTTCTAAATCAGAAATATTAAAGTAAGTAATTAATTATAAAATAAAGCTCTCTTTTAAACTTTCTTATTGTAATAATAAGGTATTACAAACCGCGACTGATAAGTTTATTTATAAGTGGTGGTCACTTATAAATAAACCGTTGTAACGTTAGAAGTAGCTCACCCTGTAATAATTATTTTGGCATAATTTTGCACCAATGGTGCAGAATTGGCAGATAAAATAGATACGTAATTTTAGCATAATTTTGCATTAATGGTGCAGAATAGGCGGACAAAAGATATACATAATTGTGATATAATTTTTCACCAATGGTGGAAAATAAACGAGGAAAATCAATCCATAATTTTTGACATAAAATCTTGACAAATCCGAAGTAAAAATTCTAGTTATTTTTTTCGGTTCTTATGCACGTTTGGTGTGTTTTGCATCTATGTTCTCAATTGTTTGGCACCATTTTGACTTACCGAGTGTTCGATACCAATGGTGCTACAAAATTATTTAAAAATGGAAATGTTCCTATTTAATTAGCATCAATTGATGCAAAATAGTCGTTAACACACAGACAGACAGACAGACGGACAGACAGACGGACAGACAGACGGACAGACCGACAGACGGACACGAGGAATTCAATAGCTCACATGCTACGCAGGGTGAGCTAATAACTCGATTGAAAACAACAGCAATAGAAAGTGAGTTATTCGAAGAAGTTGACTTATTTTTAAGCAGTGGAACAATAAGTCTACCTCACTCTAAGAAATCTGGTGATACGATATCACCAGGCGGTGACTATTTACATAGGATTCTGCCGTAATGGTGAAAATTAGCTACCATGTGGTGTAGGTTATCTCCCCGAATGATGATAATGTGTTACCAAATTGGAGCCAGCTATCTCCAGATTTCTTTTAGTGCAAGTCAAAATCCTTAGTATCCACTTTTAATTTCGATTTCAAAATATCTTAACTGCTAAGAATTTTTTATTTAAATCGTCATTGTTTGAACCATTTCAGGTAATATTCAGTATCTTATCGCCATTTCTTACAAATTATATTCCATCACACCCAATACACTGGTTCTTATGTAAAGTAATTATCATATTGCCAAACTAAAGTCTTATTTTTGCCTTTCCTACAACTTTATTATTATTGCGTAATATTTATTACAGAGAACAGGACAATATGGATCACAATTTATCTCTGTGTAATAAACAAGGTGAAGTAAAATCAACCTCGTCACCTGTCCAACCTCCTATTCGATATCGGCGGCCCCATCCTAGACAACCTGGACGCCACCATTCAACAAAGATCCGTGATAACTCGCCACCCCGCAATATCCACTCCAATATTCACCCTTCCGATCTCGAACGACTAAAAACCCTTCCCCCATCGGACTTGTTATCTCAACTAGTGTCCACGAACTCCATCACTATCCAAGGTCGTGAAACACATTCCATAATCCTTGCCCAGTTAACGAATCTGCTGCAGCGCAAGTTTATGAAAATCAAACTGAACCCGATCAGCTCAGTCATAGGGTACGACACCTCCCAGGTGGAAATCCTGGTGGAAAACTTTTCCGAAAAAGACCATAGCAAATGTGAGATCAACAGTGTTGCCAGTCAAGTCGCACAAATTCTGCGAACTTCTAATCTCACCCAAGTACGAATTGACAACGTTCAACTCTTCCGGAAAGAAGGATTTCAGTCCATGCGTTTTGTCGCTAGGACGAGCACAATCGGTGAAGCGGATGTATTCCTATCTTTTGTAAATGTGGGACAAGTCCAGTTATCCAGATTGGTTACTTTCTACCTAAAATTACACCCTGTAATTGAACCCGTCACGAAATTGGTGCAATTGTGGGCGGATTATCACCAATTTTATGAAATATCTAGGGAATGTTTAACATGGATGGTGTTAATGTATGCTGGGTATGAGGAAATCATCCCCTCGGTGGCTAGAATGCAGTCGTTTTTAAAGTATCCGGAGGATAAAGTTAATGGTAATTTTGTCAAGATTATGCTGAATAATTTTTAACCCGATTTCTTACTCATGCATAGACTACCAGAATTCCAACTACCAGAGATTTTTGCGAATTTTAATTCCAAATTTCCTATTTTCCCCGAGTTTATATTTATTATCCCATAAGCCTAATGTTAAATTTTTTTCCCTGGGAATGTTACCCAAATCTACATGCTTTCACTATCTGGGAATTCTAGAACTCTACTAATTCATTAATTTTTGCAGGATGGGACGTCACCATACCACTTCAAACTGATGGAGTCAAAATCCTCTCTGAATTTCCACCAAGTATTCCAACAAACTCAAGTGACGATTTTGCCGCAACAGTGATGGAGCTGGTTAAGGAATTCTTCCATTATTACGCCAAACTTGATTTTGAGAAAGATTTCGTTTGTACAAACACCTTACAAATTGTAAATTTAGAGACTTGTTGTTAGACTAAAGGGGATTCACGTGAGCGTCACAAGCGTCGCATCGCATCGCAGTGATAACTCGCAAGTTTGTAATGGATACGAAGTTTTCAAAAAATTCGCCATATAAAATGCACTCGCGAAACGTGCTATGTAAAAAGGCATCAGTTATCGAGCAAGTTTGTTTTTGCCATATCCATAATTTGATTTTGATTCAGCAAAATTTTTAGAGTTGCCAAAAACCGCGAAGGTAAAATTTTACAAAGGTTCGTTCATGTTCATGTTTGAACTGGGTTTGAAACGTCGCAAAGTTACGAAATTGCTGTGCTGTAGTTCACCTGAATCCCCCAATTGTTTACCGTATAAGATAAATACGAAGAATTGATACATAATTTTGCATTTATGTATTTAGGTGTCCAAGACCGCCCTAGCAGCGGGATCCATGCCCAAACCACATGAAGAAGAAGGCATCCTAAAATATTTCAAGTGGTTTGGTAACAAACCAAAAAACGAGAAACCACTCTTCGATATTCCGACCTCTTTTTGTATTCAAAATCCACTCTGTCTCAACCACAACTTGGCTAGAGGGGTGAGGAAGGAAATAATCACCCACTTTCAACATGTGTGTTCAACCACGTACAAACATATGGAAGCAAACCCTCCAGTTATTTCTTTCTTTGATACTTTGTTCCCAATTCCTTCCACATTTATGGCACGTATCCGTCCAAAAAAATACATCCCGGTCGAAGATTTGCAAAATATTGTGACTCTAGTATACACAAGTTTGAAGAAATCATCACCCCATGAGACCTGTGCCTCTGGTTGGCTCGGATTACGAATCAAGCCCCCAAAAAACTTTGTCTACCAGTTTGCATTCTCCATGAACGAATTGAATATCACACAAGTATTAGGTTCCTGGCTACTCTTTCGGAAACTTGAAATTTTCTGGGGGACAATGGTAGACGATTTTCTGCAAACATTTCTACAGAAATCTTTTAATACAGTGATTACACAAAAAGAGCAAAATACGGTGGAAAACTTGAGGTATCTGTTCGTTTAATTTTAATAAATCTCCTTCAAGCAATTACTAAACTTTTTAATTTAGATCAAAGCAACCCCGCAAGTCTCGCAAATACGTAGAAATTTTGTTTGCTAAGACCAACCCTGCTACACTTCAATGTTCTCCGGACAAATTCCGTAAAGTAAATATCTCGTCGAAAACAAGTGTTGTTGAAAGTTTGGAGAAATTGATACAGCCCATTGTGGGATTTATGACTTGTACCATTCTAAAATGTACGTGCTCAACGCCACTTGTGCATTTAAAATTCGAAAGGGATACAAATTGTGGGGAAATCCTACCTCCTGCGAAAAGGATGGCAATAGAAAGCCCTTTCGACCAAATGTGCGAATCTCTTCACCAAACTGAAAATACTGGCGACGAGCCACTGCATTTTGAAATATTCGTCAAAATGGAGTCACATTTGGGCTACTCGTTACCTATAATCGAGGTGGTGTTCAGATCGGTGAGAAAGTGTTGTGAAAAAGCATAAAAAGTACACTCAAAATATTTTTTAATGAATCGTCACCACGCGGTTTTACAATCTAAAGTGTTGGTTAAATCTACTAAGGAATGATGACAACATTTTGTTACGATTTTGTTCAAATTTGCTTCTCTCGGGTAAGACAATTGATAACAAACAGCGATAGATTTGAACTTGTGGAAATTCTTGTTATCAATCTGACACAGTTTTTAAACCAATAAGATCATAAGAGTATCATTGTGACACCGTATGGTAACAGTTCCTTAGGAAATTATTTTCAGTGTAAAATAATCGACTATTTTTTTGGATGATTTTTGGTGATTTTTGGTGATTTTTTTGAAAGGTGGATGACAAAGAGATGAAGAGTATACAGGTCCTTGCCGAAGCGATTTCGCAAAGTTTCCCAAAGTATGCGATGGACAGGCTTCGGTCATTGTTAAGGTGCGAAGATTAAATGGGTGAATTAAGGAGAAAGTACGCCATTAAGCAACGAATTGTTAAGATTTATCTAAACTTCAGTCCTAATAAATCCATTCATGCAAATATGAGACTTATTTATCATCTATTGAACTCAATTGTAAATTTCAAATTCTCAAATATCTATTGATGGTGATCATAAAAATATAAATTAACATGAACCATGCATTTACATAACTGGTTACACTCAATAAGTAATTACATATTGTCTGATAAATTCGTGTGGACGGTCGGTAAACCAAATGCAGCTGGTTGTACATAATCATCCCTTGAATTTGTCCCGCATCAAGACAAAGGAAGCAATTGACGAAACGAGCAATCCACAAAGGTAAAACCTTCGTCATCCGGTGTCCGGATAATTTTTCTCCATGACAATACCACAACATCCTGATTTCTCGGTATTGAAGCATTATTATATGTAAGTGGTGACAATTTCTTGCAAATTATAACGTCATTCACAGTAGCGGAACTATAAATTTGGGGCCGGTAGGCAGGGGTTCGCTGGGGCCCTAGTCCCTGACTGATTTGACAATACATAGAAAAAGAGAAATTTTGCGTTTTTTATTTAAGCATAAATTTGATTGAGTGCAAGGTAATTTCGAGTCGTGTTTGTGTGGTTAAACCACAAAAGTTTAATTAGAATATCGTATTAATAAAATTACACTGATAGGCCTCGTTGGGGCGATTTGCAACTTGATATGTCATTCAAAGTTCAGCCAACAAGGGATACTATTGAACAGTGTTGTAGTAGTTAATTAGATTTTGTAGTTAACTAGTAGTTAACTACAATTTTTTGGAAAAAGTAGTTGTAGTTAAGATTCAACTACATTTGGAAAGTAGTTGAAAAAATGTAGTTCAACTACTTTCTGGGATTTTATAGTTAATTAACTACATTTTAACTACTTTTAACTACTTTTCTACATTATCTCCCTCTGATAATACAAGAAAGAAAGGGTCCAAAAGCCGTTTTAAAATGCTCGGCAGATAATTCTTCTGATTATACAAAAAATATCAGAAAAATTGGAGAAAAAATTTATTGGAGAAACTGAACGAGACTTCAAAACATGAACAACTGGACATGAAAATGCGATTAGAAACGAAAACACAACAATTTCCCCCGTAGCGAAACACATGATTGAACAAAGTCATCAATTAGATCCAAATTCCCACAAACTCATATTAAAAGAACCAAGAAAATTCTACAGAAAATTCAAGGAAGGATTATTCATCAGGAGCATGGAAAAAGAAGACAAAATGAACATTTCAAAGGGAATGCTCATAAATTCTATCTGGTCCACAACACTAACTAAGTTTTTAATGTATCCATGATTATTATATCTTTAAAATCTCAAAAAATCTAAAGAATGTTGTAGTACTCTTTTCTTTCTGTTCAAACTAATTGGTGCCTGAAGATGATCTGCTGTAAGCGGTCGAAAGCTCGCAATTGTCAATAAAATCAAGTTTTATAATGTCCTCCAATAGTACCGTTCAAACCCAATTAAAAAAATATCAGAATTAAAATTCATCTGGATAAATTTATGTTGTGGATCTTACCAGGCAATGAGAAACCATTTGTTTAAGTATCTCATCGAATTTAGAGTGTATCGAATAGTTGTGATAAAAAATTTAAATTTCATAAGTGAAATATGCAAGACACCCAATTACCGGATGAGACCATTGTCCAATCTCCACAGCAAAAGGTGTTTATCGTAATTTAAGGATGCTCGATTAAGTACATAATGGTACATAATTTAGTACATCAAAGTAATTGAGTATCCTATTATTAATTACTAAATACTTGGCCAATTAATTAGATTTTTCAAAATTAAAATTTCATGGCATGCGAAACCTGAACTCCCTGTCACGAATGCGATAAAAAAATGTGAAAATCCGTCCAGGATTTAAAAGCTATGGCGGTTTTTAAAATAAAAACATTCCAATTTGGCGAATTTAGCGCCACGCCACGGCGCCAAATATGAGTTTTACACGGAAATATAAGTGAATCCTTCATCTAGGTTCCTAGTATACTATAAAAAAACATAATACAAAATTATTTCATTATTTCATTATCTTTTTTTCGTCAATTTACTTGCTTTCCATGCAATAAAACAAAGTAGGTATGCTAACAAGTAAAAGTACTCGTATATACTGTAGTAAATGTAAAGTTTTATTCACACCAAAACAATGCTTCAATATTTACCTTTTACTAATTTTGGGTGCTTACCTAGATATATTGCGGCTGGGGCCCTAAGAACCAAAACCTGCTACATAGGTAAAAACATCTCATCTGCGGCCAAAATTTGAGAAAAGGATTTAATGCAAGTTTATTTTTATTATCCAAACATGAAAGTGTATGAGTGGTGCGCCAAAATAAAAATGAAATGATGCTGAACGTATACAATTTCGTGTTTGAAATAAGGGAAATTAAATAACTTTTACGCCCAAACAATAAGTTGATATTAATTTTCTCAAATTTAGGCTGCTGGATGCTTTTTACCGGTGTAGGAAGTTTAAGTTGTTGGGGCCCCTGGAACAATATTTTGTACTTGTTATTTGTTGCAGTATTTTCTACTTTTTATACATATCAGTCAATTGTCTCCAGTCTGAGCATTTTTAGAATTAAATTATAATATATAATTTGACGGAATTTCTTAGCACAATTTGAATTCGATTTTTTGAGTATCCCTTCTGCAATGCTTACCCTTAGTTTTGCCACTGTTAAGATATTAACAAATTTAATTGTGTAGCAAATTCAAAAAAATTAGGTACAGGTTTGGGGGCCCCCACTTCGTGGGGCTTCGTGGGGCCCCTATGCCATGCCTACCCTGCCTACCCCTAGTTCCGCTAGTGGTCATTCAAACAACGACAAGTTCAAGCCGCACGCAGTAGGGAGGACTTGACCAGCATAGCGGAAGGAAGTATCAGCTGGTGAAAAGAGTTATTTGCATACATTTACATATTTGCCTGTTTCTTGAGGTATATAATTTTGAGAATGTGGAGGACAGAAATTAGTTTGCTGGTTAGCCTAAATTTGCAACATGCCATTTATTCGTTGAAGCGAGTTGGGAATAATTTTTACAGGTGTACATATTTATCCATTTATCCAGGTAATTAATTAGATCCTGATGAAGACGAAGATGACCTCCGCCCATGCCAGTGACCACGATGCTTTGTGGTGACTAGAATTTCATAGTCGGGGAAGGACAACTCCTCACCATCCTACGGTGCGTAGCAAACACCATGGGAAGGGTGCACTTTTCCTAAGAATGGTAAGTGTATCCAAATGGTGTACCCTTCCAATATGCAAAGTTTCTCCCTCCGCGGATTTTCCACCGGTCACCGCTTTATTCACGGACTGTCCACCACTGCTTTTTACCCATTTTAGTGAACCCTTCTTTGCCACAAGGACCTAAATATGAAGACAAAAAATGTACAATGTTAAGTAAGTTTGCCGAATATATTTTATACGCTTAGCGGGAGCGGAGTAGCACAGTAGGCAGTGTTCGCCCTAGCAGAAAAGCGCTTTTTTGAAAAGTATGCTTTTTTGATTAATAAAGCGGCTTTTTTGCTTACCAAATTCGGATGCTTTTTTGCTGTTTTGCTATATTGAAACTTATAACATTGGTAGTTGTGAAGTATGGCGACTGTTAAAACAGCAAAACAGCAAAAAATCTAAACAGCAAAAAAGCATGTAAAAAGCAATTATGCATTACAGCCCTCTATGCTTTTTGGCGAACACTGACAGTAGGCTTCGTGCCAGCCTGTGCCTTTGGGTTGCCCCCGCCTCAGTGGGCTTAATATTAGGCATTGTGTTAAATTCCCAGTGTCTGCATTGTCGCTTGTCCCCCTTCTCCTAGCTCAGGTGCTCTCCCACCGGATAATGAGCCACGCAAAGTGTGGTAGATACAATGTGTGTTCGGCTGTTTTCGCTATAATGTTTCGCTGTAGGTAAATAAAACCTGATAAATCTTGTGGTTATAATGGTACTTACGAAGGGTGCTTCCATCTTGTCCGCCTCAGATCTGCTTGAAATTTTGTGTGTAAGTGGTACCACTAGAGATATGAAAAAATGTAGCTCCTTAAGTCGCACTACCCAAAGCATTGGAATTTCAAATTTTCATAGATTTTCCAATTGTTGGCCTATGTTTAAAACTAAAAGTGTTTGGGAGACCTTAAGACGAAATATACATTCCCAGATTTTAAAAATATGGCCACACCCTCCTGAAATTAAGGTCACAAAGTCCAAAACTAGTCTTGAATAATAGAACAAATTATAGAACCGAATTTTAAGTCACAAAATTCGAGTTACACGTCGGAAATATATCCAGACGAACATGTAGCCGAAAATATTTAAATTTACCACTTGGCACACCCAAGGGGGGTGTGGTCATCAGCGTCTATTTTCAATTGTGACGAAGTCCTGGCATGTGACATATCATTTTTCTCAGCGAGAAAAGGAGATTTCAACGGAAATCTTGAAATTTAGAAACCACACCCACAGTGGGTGTGGTCTAGTCGCTTGTTCCAACTTAAGGAAGACATGGCGAGTGACATATCTTTTTTCAGCGAGATAAGAGGATTTCAAAATTGCATTGCCTGATAAATTAATCACGAGCAGTTTAAAACTGGCGGGTAAACCCGTCACTCTAATTGGGGCGCAATCGGATTAATGGGGTACATGGCGACTTTGCTTATTTTTATCCCTCGGCACACTAATTTGCACCGTAACGATTCAAAAAGTAATTTTAAAGGTTTTGGACAATCATTTAACTGTTACAGCAGTGTGGAATCTAGTCTTATCTAGTTGCTCTATTGGTAAATTCAAATATGTTGAACCATTTGGTCCTCAAATTTCACCCCAAATTATTTCTGTGGTATTAATGATTGGTGATTTTTAAGATAAAACGAAAGCCACAAGCTGTAAACGAAATGGTGACATCTTATGATGTGTGAAAAATTGGGGATACGCAAACTGTTTAAATTATATGAAGCCCCATTTGATAAAATTATTGAATATTTATGATTCAAAAATTCTG